CACGCTACAGGGGAGGGGAGAAGTTGCAGCCGCCTGAGGCTCTTAACAGAGCGCTCAGGCGGCTGCAGTATTTAAAGGGCCGGCCCGCCGCGGCCGGTCTTACAAGAATTTAGGGCGGCCTGGGGGGCAATTGCCTCCCTGCCCCCCGGCCCAGCCCGCCCCTGCTTATGCCTTACACTCTATACATTTTTGCAAGAAGCCTATAGACACAGAGTATTAATGGTGTACAGATTTCTCATACCAGCCACTAGGAGGACCCCCTAGGGGGCTATTCTTTCTATTTAGTTTATTTTTGTCTTTTAGGTATCCAATGTAGCAACCAAAATACTTTAAAATGTAGATATATCCCAACCCTACTTATGAAAACAGACATAAGAACAGGTGACAGGTAGCAGAGACAACAAGCAGAGTTTCATACGTACCTGATTAATCCAAACTATTAAAACTAAACAAGGGAGGGATAAGAATGGGTGGGAAATACTCGCCTCCTGTCATTAATAAAATTAAGATTATACGTACACTAAAGCTAGCATAATCTACAATTTTATAACATGACAGGAGGCTTCTTATTAGAACCGAGTAGGATCTTTCATTCCTTCATGATCTACCCGGTGAGATGTCTCATCCGAGAATATATTTATTATGCAGTCAAGAGTGTGGTCAAACTAGCCGTATCCTAAGTGATTCCAATATGCCAAATGGACTGTGTAATCCTCGGCTGCGGCAGAGAAAGGACTCCAAAAGGACGTCCAGTCAGGGTCCCAAACTGAACTTGTGTGGTGGCACGGTGGTCGACTATTCTTGGGATATTGAATCCAGAAATATTCAAAAGGATGGGAAAAGTAAACCGGAGTTGAGATCTCCATCCAGATATGTCATCGTCTAAGAGTGATAAGATGTACGGATCCGACGGTGATTGGGACCTGTATAACAACGAAGAGTCCTCACGTGCTGTAGTGAGAGAGTCAAATAATCTGATTACTGTAGTACGATCCTGTTCCATGCCCGATCTGTCAAAATTCGTGTAGGGGCTCCTGGTCTACACGCCACCTACAAGATAGGGTATAATATAGTGAGACACCTGACTGTCCGGGTACGTATCTCCCAGAGTAGGTCCTAGGTCAAGGGACCCAGGAATGTGAGTTCGATAACCAAAGTCAAGGTCTTCCTATAGAGGGATATCTCCCTTCTTAGCTTGGAGTCCCGCGAACACATAGCATTCTCCAATACACAAGCAAGGCGTAAAGTCCCTTCGCACACAACAGGTGACTCCAGAGAGCAGATATAACGAAAAAAAACAAGGGTCTAGCTCCAACCGTCCGAATCGTGTTATCCCGTATGGGAATGTCGGCAGCCCTATCCGAGTCTGCTACACATCCTGAGCAGTACTCCGGCGGTAGGTTGTGACCCGACTTTGACATCCGTGTAGGAGTCGGGGCATACTGGGTTCCTCCATAGAGTCTCATAGGTCTCCTTGATGGTAGTTGAAAGGTGGGTTAATGAGAACCCAAACCAAGACGGCTCCCGTGAGGTATATAGAGTATAGATGGAGGGTCCTCCATCTCCGAACCCTGCTCTCCAGCTATGTGCCCAAAGGAGTTGTAATGACCAGGGAACTCAAGTCAACTGGGGCTTCCGGTCTTTCCATGTGTACGGTGTATCTGCAGACCGGGTAGTGGGCCTTCCCTAGTCTTGTTACCCGAACAAGGCAGTGCCCGTTTGCTCCATGACGGTCTCAGTATCTCATGTCATCTTGATATTGGAAAAAACTGTCTGCGCAGTTTGTTTGCAATGGCCCAGATATCTAAAACAGAATGCAATTGTCTACTTGATACAGCGCAGAATATACCAAACTTGCACTCTTGTAACTCAGAGTATTTCTCGCGTGGGGTGCAGGGGTCAAATTGAATGCAGGAGGGACGCCCCTCTATGCAGTCGTCGTTGTCCTGTACAGGTACAAGCCTGCGTGATGAACAAATGGACGGCACCGTAGTGCGCTGAGTGTATGAGAGAGCCGCGTTCTCTAATAATGTGACCGAACTCCGTGTCCGCGTCCAGTTGATAGCATGAGCGGGCCACGCCCGTTAACCCAACAGTAGAGTCTAGATCCGTGTCCGGTTCCCTTTACAAGAATGTGTCACTCAAAACTTCCTCCCTATCCAGCTCAGTATCCAGTAATAACAAATCAGTGTCCGGTTCCGTATATGAGAGGGGTACGCTCTCTGTTCGTGAGAATAAGATTTAATTCTCGTATCAAGGTGATGGAGGGTCGTACCCTCTTGTAATCCAAACTAGAGTCCCTTAGAGAACCAGGGTGACCAACTGCAGGGGTACACCGTTTACTAATATCAGCATAAGCCTGAGATCCTGCGGTGGGTCTCTCTCTGACCACGAGACCTCTCTCTGAGTCGCTCACCTGAGATGGAATCAACTGGTAAAAACCCAGACCGATGGAAGATGGAATTGTATACAACCTCGGGCCGTGTCCATCCTTAATAACAGAAAGGGATGGAGAGAAAATGCAACCTTTCGGAAACAATGATAGAAACTACCAACTGACCGCCCGGATCCCCTGCGCGCGTGCGGGATCCAGGAGAACCGTCGGTAGCCTGAGGAAGATGTTCTCTGCAATCCCCGAGAGCCCGGGAGGTTGGAGGAGGTCAAGTCAGGCCTCTCGACGACCCGAGCGATAGGACAACTGGAAGGCTTGAAAACCAAGAAACGACAAATGATGTAGATAACGGTACCTCGGAGAGAAGGTAAATAGCAGATCGGAACAGCAAGTCAAGTAAACCCAACTGAAAAGGTCAGGGGCTAAACGCGACGTAGGACTAACTACCCATACCTAAGATGGATACCGGGAAGGCAGCCAGATGGTTAGTTTTTTTTTTTTGTTTTTTTTTGTTTTTGTTTTTTAAATTCTTTATTTTTGTTGTGCAAAAGTTTGACAGACAGGCTTGCCATGCCACAACAGTAAATACAGACATTTCAAGAGGCGTTAAACTGTGGCATGTAGTAGTACTGCACATTTTTAAAGATAAACATAGTGATGCATATAGTGTTGCTTAACAAGAAAACAGTAGAATTGTTTGAGATATACTATATGGATTGACAATAACGTAGTCGAGTATAATATATCAAGATAAGGGAACACGCTAAACTGTAGTTAATTTGTCAGCAGGGTAGCCGCTGGGTACTATGGTTGGTGTTACATGAGACAAGAGTCCACTGGGTGGTAAGATAAGAGACAGGTATGTTGATGTCGCCAGAGTGAATACAAATTAAAGCAAATAAGAGGAAATAATGCAAACCGACTGAGGGCTATGAATTGCATGTAGGGGGACTGTCAGCCTATGCCTGTTTCGGGTATCATTAGTAAATACTTGCTGTGTCCATGATAAACTTGTGGTTGCTGTCCCTCCATGAGGCTCCATATGGCCCATTTGTGTTCAGGCTTGGTTCTGGTTGTTTTCTTAGCCCATGATCTACCGGAGCCGCAAAACCGCCAGTCGGAGTTATCACTTCGCTCACGGGAGTGAAGGGGAGCCTGTCTCCCGCCCCGAAGCGTCTTTGTTTTCCGCTTGATTTGGGCCAGGGTCCCTGTGCGGTTTGTTAGCTGGGCATACTTCCAGCCTCTCTGGGGCCATGAGGGATGTGCTTTTCCGTGTGCGCCCGTTCCAGAGTCGGGTCTGTGGCCCTCTAATTCGGCCGCTTTCTCCTGTTTAGCAGGTAAGGCGTGCAGGAGAGGTCTGTGTTCTAGGCGCTGCCAGAACTCCTCGCAGATCTGGTCGAACCGCGCCTTGAAGCGTTCTCTCCACGCTTGGATTGTCAGGCCCTCTTTAGGCTGTGGTAGTTGTGGCTCGGCGGCCATTTTAACCTCGTTTCGCGCTCTTAATTCTGGCAGAAGATTTGTCTGTTGCGGGAGAGCAACCTTGCCCAGCGGGGACCAGGATGACCCCCACCGGTCCAGAGGGGGGGGTTGCGGGGTCTCATGCTTGTCGCTGCTCGATGCGGTCCCCGTGCTGGGAGATCGGCCGCCTCTCCCGGCCACGAGGCCGCCTTCCATGCTAGGCCTCAAATGCGGAGTGTGGTAAATCTCTACAGAGAGACTTGGTTCAAGTTTCCACGGGCTCCCACTCAATTCCTCTGTTAGCCACATTTGTGTGGAGCTGCAGGAGTCACGTTTAGGCCTTTAAAAGCCTTGATTAAGCTCGGTTTTGCCAGAGCACTCGGTAGGCACGTCTGGCCTGTTCGGCTATCAGGCCCCGCCCCGCCAGATGGTTAGTTGCTGAAGGCAAGGCACCCATGCTCCCCTGTTGGCGCCTGAGCACTGGTCCTTGCTTGTGCGAAATTCTCTTTGGAGATGTGCCTCCGCCGGATAGGTGTAAACCATGGTTTCGCGCCCGGGGATCATCATAAAAAAAAAAACCTTGCCCCTCAGGGCATGAGGTTTAGGGCCTTCACCCTTCCAGTCATATTTAGGCGTCCGTACACTGGTGTCCTCTTGGATAGTAAGGCAGCAGTGCTTGCCTGGGCACCCATCTATCTCCAATAGTGGGTACTGGGCTCTTCTCCGTGATATCCTCCCAGGCCTGTGGACAAAAGGGTTTTCGTGCCCAGATAGCTCAGGCCCAACAAAGGGCACAGATAGAGCAGGCCAATCAAATGGGCACAGACCTATCAGGCCAATCAACGGGGCGCAGACATAGCTGGCCAATCAATGGGGTGCAGACATAGCAGGCCAATCAATGGGGCACAGACATATCAATGGGGCACAGAAATTTAGCAGGCCAATCAACGGGGCACAGACATAGCAGGCCAATCCTGGGTAGCGTCTAAATGGGTAATAAGGGACTCCAGTGTTAGGGTAGCGTTCCCTAAATATCTGTAATTCTTCAGGGTACCCTGTGATATAGGACCCCCAGACGCCAACCCCTTTAGACAGCGTAATACTGTGTGAATAAACCTTAACTAGGACTAGCAGTCCCTAAATGCCCAGCAGGCAAAAAGTGGTATTCCAGCTGTAGTGGATATAGTCTGAAAATGTTCCAGTGAATATAGTGTCCATTAAACCATGATATACTGAGCGATTTATTTTTAACTGTGAATAGGTTATGCACATGAACCTGCAGACCTGTTTGAGATACCTTCTTCAATATTATGCATCATCAGCATACCACCTGAAGGGTATTGTACCAGTGGCATATTTCAGGAGTAGGGCTAAACAATTGCCAACTCAATGTGTCCCCTTATTGAGTTCGGAAGGGACCACCTTCCACTCTACTAGTCACAGAACCTGATAAAAAGAATTAGTGTCAGCATAGGCTGGTCTCCCATACCAGTTAGAGCCAGAGCTAGGTCTGCTTAGCTTAATACACTAGCCATAGACAGTGCATATCACACTATAGCAGTCTCATCACTAACCTAGAGATGGACCAGGAATATATATAGGGAAGCACAAGGATAGGAGCATAAGAACGCTAGATGAATAGTGCAAAGGTGTGCTCACCCCTGATCTAAATGGCAAACTGGCTCTGCATGAAAATGTATAGATGACTATGCCAGAATTGAACCTGTGACTTTGAAACACTGATCCTGGAGTTTTGCCCACTGAACTATTATTGTATAATAGCTTGGTGACAGCCAGAATCCCAGCATGAGAAAAAACATTCTCGGTCCAACCGCTGTGGGTGGAGGAGGGGCCGTGTGGCAGGTGCACCCTCCTCTCGCCGGTCGGGTGCACGTGGCTCTTGAAGGAGCCGGCCGTGGCGAGGCGGCCACGTATGCAAGCGGGTCCGGCCGCCGGGTACTCGCATCTAACCGCGAGAAGCCCCAGGCGCCGGCAGGCTCACACCGGAGCTCGGGGAGTCAGAGGAGACAGCCTTTTTAAACAGCTAGTCTCCGGACACCCCGAGTGAAAGCACCCACAGCCCGCGAAGGGCTCTGGAAAGTGGGATGGGGGGGAGGAGGAGGGTGAACACAAAGGGGAGCAAACTGAAGGTATCCCCAGAAACCCCCATAAAACCCCCACAACGACAGGAAAACATCCCCAAAGAAACAGGGGAAGCCCAGAAGATTCAAAATAACATGAATCCCAACTAAATATAATAAATATATATAATTAAATATAAACATATATAAGATATAAAAGAAATATAAAATATGATAACTAAATACAATGTAGAAAGAATATAAAATAAATATATGATATGATAACTAAGAATAATGTATATAATGTATAAAATAAATATATATATAATCTGATAACAAAATATAATGTATATAAAATATAAAATAAATATATAATATGATAAATAAATATAGTAAATATAAATCATAAATAAATCATAATAAAACCCAAAGCCACCAACTATAAGCAGGAGGCAGTGGTACTCTGACCTGTACTGATGCAGAGCAGCAAAGAAAGAGGAAATGATGTATGGGGAGGGGAGTTTTATAGTACCTAACTTTTTTCTGATTGGTTGTTTTTCTGTGCCGCTGTGGAGTTCTAGTAAAGAGAGACTTAAGCAAATACGAAGCCTCCTGTCATGTTATAAAATTGTGTACAAACCTGTCTCTGACTACTGTGAGCTGTGCTTACATCTTGTAAAAAAATCTCGTTAGTTTTAACTGTATTATTTATTTTTTAACATGGTATATAAATTCAATTAACCTCTACAGTGCCATACATTTGGGTGCATGGGGCAAAGATGTCGCCCTGGGCACACTCCAGAAGCATTTACTGGGTGAGAAAACTAGGAACTGGCTCTTCATGACAAGTAATTGATTCGATTTGAAGCAGAAATGCCAATTTAAAATGAAAGGCACATTCAAAGAGCAAATTAAAAGCTGACTAGCTGTTCTAGGTCTCCATTTAATATTTTTGGATAAACTTTTTAAGTGATTTTATATTTTGAAAATCATTTTTTTATATATATATATATATATATATATATATATTTATTTGTAACATTTTAAAAGCATATTCAAAAATGTTATATCATTGGAAAAACTTAAAACAAAGCTATTAAATCAAGGCCATAATAGCTAACTGAAAACTATTTGTTGGTTGTGGTTTTTCAAAGGGAGCTTTTTTGTTTTCAATTTACTTCTGTACCACCTGTAAGAATGTGCTGGTTCGTACTGGCATCAGATGCAAATGTATAATATCCATGCTAATGGAATCAAAGAAAGTGATGTGTGTGTAAATCAGAGCCTGTACTGTGAAATTGGGGACACTGACCACCCAGAATTTGAAGACGAGGTAAGTTTAACTCATTTACTTCCACTGCACTTTTTGCAGCAGAACAATTAGGACCATTCGATAAGCAGGCAGGTCTGGTCAGCGGCCCAGTCCGGTGCTGCAGACCTTTAACAACGCTACCAGGTCCCTTTAAAATCAGCAGTCAGTGCTGGAAGGAAATGAGAGCCTGTCACTTAGTCCCAGGTTACAGACTGCATGGGCCAGGAGGATGGAGGAGGCACATAGCGGAGATGAGGAAGAGCACTGTAAACAGCACTGACAGCATCAAACTCCCTTTAACCTCAGTCAGTCCAGAGAAGTCACCATTCTGTACCCTAAAGGTATGGAAGCAGGGGGATGAATAAAAATATGTATTTTGCAACGTTTGTCTGTGTAGGTATATGTTTGTATCTGTATGTATGATATTATGGGTACGTGTGTATCTGTGTGTTAGTGTATTTAAACATATACATCTACACTACAAATACAGCCATACACTGTTGCCAACACTACATACAACCACATCCTTGTATTAAAACCCCAACATTATATACAAACACACCCCGCATTCGAACACCAAAATTACACACAAATGCACCCCTGCATTCAAACGCACATTCTACACAAGTGCACCACTGCATTCAAGTGGCAACATTACCTACAGGCACACAACTGTGTTTATATGACAATACTGCATGTACCCTACGTTCACACACTCACACCATACAAAAACAAGCTTAAATGCAAACATACAAACACTGCTCACAAGTAAAGCCCTGGAAGAATGGGCAAATGGTAGAACCTCAGCTGGAAACACTTTGTGGGAGATGTACAATAGATGGTAATCTACATTTTGACCAACTTTGCCCTGAGGGAGGGATTTCTTGCACCAGAGCCCTCTCTACATTAGTTACACCTCTGCACCAAAAAGCACTTCAAAAGCATCTACTGGGTGAAGAAATGTGGAATTGCCATTCAAGAAAAAGGTGACGACTCTTCTTTAACATACGTATATGCTGAGAGGGTATTGTAGGGGGTAGGTCCAGCATTGTCATGTATTCATCTGCACATAAAAATGTGATTAATGACATTTACTGTTCTGACAGGAAAAGTTGTGCCGAGCAAAATTACTGTCCTTACAGGAAAAGTTGTGCTGAGCACCAATCAATCCACAGGAGGGTTTGTGCTGAGCAGTAATCATGCAAATAGGAACCTGGTAACTGCCTTTGGGGTCAAAGGCCAGTTACAACCAATCGGATCCACAGGCGGGGTATTTAGGCCCAGTTCAAGGGGCGGAGCTTACCTGCCGGACAGACGCACTTCGCAAGAGCTCTGGGTGATCCGATAAAATATCAGAGATTTTGCCACTCTGAATCAACATTCAATTAACCATACTGCTCCCAACACGTCTGGAACCTGTGGGCTGTGGTGTTCCCCTTCAGCTCGTGTTTGAATTGCTGGTACTTGGCTGTCATAGACCCGGACGGAACTGAGGCCTATGATGTGCGGGCAGAAGGGAGGCAGCATATCCCTCTGCTCCTAGGCTCACTGTTCCTTCACTGTTCCTTCAGGAGACCACCAGAGTATCTCCTGTAGAGGAGAGAGAGAAGATGAGAGATAGCATGCTCCAGGACACGAAACACCAAGTGGAGAGTCTGAACACGCAGGTTAAGCAGCTACATAAGATGGCCTCACTGGAATCCAGACACCGCCGTCTGAACATACGTTTGCAAGGCATCCCAGAAGAGATTGTTGGAGGCGCAATTTTTGTTCAAAGAATGGTGGCATCCATGGGCATACAATGCAGAGCAGAAGCCCCAGCTATTCTGTTTTAAATAATTTTATTGGTACATAGGAAAAGCAGTCATCCCACGCAGGGGAGGCAAACGGACCATAATAAACTTTCGTCATAAGCATTTGCCACAAAGTGCATTATATATCTAATTAGAACAGTCAAAGCCTACTAAGGCAGAAAGGTTAAAGTATGTGAACACAAGTAACATAACAAAGGTTAGGCAAATGTCATATTGCACATCCGTTCCAACATTAGCAATAATAGGCCATTCTCTGTATCCTATTTTGCAGTCGGCATATGTTAGCAGTACAATATTTAGCTAAATCTGAACCTAGGTATTTGCACTGTAGTCTACGCTGAATTATAACAGGTCAAGTTAACGTTTTATGCCTGTTCTCAACTTTATTTGATTAAGCAATGCGCAGCAACCCATTAGTGAGTCCCCATATGTTGGCAGGGAGGGAATAAACTATGGCATAACACAAGGGCACACCATTAGAATATCAGAGAAAGGGTTAATATTTCACTCTTAGATATTAAAATGACATTTAATGATTAGATGATGGGAGTTTAGGGGCTTAATTGGTTGCTGTATAGCTTCCTCTCCACACGTTTAAACAGGGTAGTATGTTGTAAGTCTTTAATTCGTGCCCTCGGGTAAGCGGTAACTGATGTCCCTAAAATAGGACCCCCAAAATCTATATGCTTGAGATTACAAACACATCTAGGCAATCAGCAAAGAACGGTTAAACTGTATCAGGCTGTTTCTTAACATAGGGTGATTTGATGGGGGTATAAACCTCCGGTTTTAGATCTACGAAACATTAAATTTATTAGAGAATAAATAAGAATTATATCAGCACAGGACTTTATATTAGTTGGACAAGGGCCGTCTATGGCACAGCAGCAATATGCCCCTCAGCCCGCCAAGTCTCCATCTGTCTCCCCCAGGCAGGCCTCAGCCCGTCAGCAGGACTCTCCATGGCTCTGTGGGCACTCAGAAGCAGGAACTGTCCGCATGACCCCCACACCTAGAGTCTACGAACCGTCTGCCCCCTGCACCTCCCCAGAACCTCTCAAGCCTCTGTGGAGCGTGTGCCCCCATGTCTCTACTGGCGCCGGCCACACTCTTGGGGGTGGTGCACGCCAGTCTCGGCCACCGGTCTGCCGGGAGGCCCGCCTCCACCTGGTCCACAGGGCTCACAGCATCAGGGACAAGTCTCTCCGGGGACCCGGAGGCCAGGGCACCTACTCCTCTGGTGGGCTGGTTGCCGGAGAATCCATCTGGAGGCCGGTAGCACCGAAGGCCACACGCACTGTCCAAGCCGGACCCCCATGGTAGGTGAGTATTTTTCAGTCGGATGCGCAATTAAATGGATTTTAAACAGCCGATTGCAAGTATCCACCGCTGTGGCTGTCCCCATATCTGTATGGTCCAGTCTTCTGACAGGCTGTTCCGCAGGCAGCCTTTGCCAGTGTAGGCGATCGGCACAACACCAGCCCGGGGACTCCCATCGCCATGAGGTCAGGATTACCCCCCGCCGACCATGGGGGGGAGCGGGGCTGCACCGCTCGCAGGCTCCGGCCGCGTTATGTCAGGGCTCTCTCGCACTGCCCGCCCTGCTCAATTGCCTCTTGAGGCTCCAGATCGTGAGTAGGCCGGGGATATCAGCACCCACCTTCCAGTTTGCTGTTGGTAGTTATTGGGTGTCTTTCTGATGCTGGGGTTATGCTCTTCTCCGGTACTGCGGAGATGTCAACTTTGGGGTGTTCAGCACACACTTTTAGTGCCTTTTTCAAGTGCTCGGGTCTGGAGCTAAAGTTCATGGCTGCCAGTCGGCCCCGCCCCGCCCCCCCAGCTATTCTGTCCTCTTTCAGAGTACGTAAATTAGCTGCAGCACCAACAGATGCACCCAGGGACGTTATTGCAACTACAAGAGACATTGCGGTGAGAACCGATATTATGAACAAGTCTAGATCTTTGGGAAAAATGGCCTTTGAGAGCCACACAGTATCCATATACAATGATATCCCCTTTTCCGCCCTCGCAGAATGCAGACAGCTAGCACCCATTGCCAGACAACTCAGAGACCACGTAATTAAATACCGTTGGAACGTAGAAGGCTCGTTTGCAGTTACTCATGGCACTGAAACACTCATCTTGTCCTACCCCAGAGACGCTGCTCCATAAACTGGGCCTGGGAGCTGCCTTCACTGGAGAGGGAATGACCTGCAGAGACAAGCCGCAAAAGGGGGATGCATCAAAGAAAGATGGCCCATGTTGCAAATCGCAATAACATTAATCAATCTCAGGCACCAGAGGCATTATCATATTTTTCATCCTATTTTTGTTGAACAAAATTGCTAATCTTCTGTCTCCACCTCTTTCTACCTGTGAGCGAATTAGTCAGCTGATTGTTTGAGCCCTGCAATAAGCTATAGCTTATAATGCAAACTTACCCTTGAGATCTCTGCATACCCACAAGCCTTTTCCTATTAATACTTGTATTTGAGTTAAGAATGTTGCATTGCTCCCAGCCTTGAATTATTCTTGATCTGTTTATTTCCTTATAACATATATTGGTACAGTTGTATAGTATGTGTACAAAATCTAATATACTACATATTAAAAATAAATAAATTGTGAAGTCCAATCTATTAAAAATGATAAAGCTATTGCAGTTACTCCTTGCATGTGATGATAGACATAGGCCTTAGAAGATCAACTGGCTGACTGATACGTCAAGATGTACCTGGCATTTAGCAAGTTAGAAGGATAGTCTGCAAAGATTATATCTGAAAGAGGCCTATGTGAGGAATACATTGACCTAAGACTGGTGTCCTTCCAGCTCTCTTGTTTTGTTAACGAGGATGAACACACCAACTGATCTAGATTTTGTCCTGGGATCTTTTTGATTACTGCTTTATATAGGTAGATGGGTTACATGAATCCATAAACTGCTTCTCTTCATTCTTCTGAGATCAATTTTCCCTTTTTCAATCACTTATTGAACTCAATTATCTCCAGATAGTTATGGCAAAGCCTTCTTGGAGTGGAGTGGCTTTTCAATATATTCAGTATACCTCAGCTGTTATTACAGAATTCCTTACTGTTTCCTCAAAATGAAGACAAATGTTATTCTTTAAAAATTCATGCTTTCTTTGACAAATCCTCCTTCTGTGAAACTCCGTCATCCTGAACTTCTAAACTTTGCTCTCAGCCATTAGGTTCTCCTGGCTGCTACCGATAAGGGTAGGGTCCTAGACAACATCTGGAAACTATAATAAATCCAGTTACAAATTCCAACTTTTATCTCTGAGCTGCAAGGGAGATGTATAGTTCTATTTCAGAGGCCAGAAATAGAATTAATAGAGCAAATAGATCTGTTTATAGACAGCTTTATTAATTGCTGTCCCAGTGAGCTGAGAGAATGGAATTATGTATATATTAGTGATGCTGTGGATGAACAGAAAACTACTAAAACTACCAAAATAACAGGACTTGATGTATGGTCTGTAGTTGTTTACATTAGTCAGGACAGGAAGCTCAAGTTTAGGATTAGTAGACATAGCCAAAAAGTCAGGACTGGCTGTAGGTATTCAGTCAGATATCAGCCTGGGTCCAGGCAGACAGCCGATGATCAATTCCAGTACGCATAGACAAGGCCAGGAAACAGGAAACCCAGCACAGGATAACGGAAGGAGGAACTCTGAAAAGTACAGCAAATGAGCAAAGTAGAATCAGTCTGATGGTGTTTTATTGTTGAGCGCACTGGAATAATAGAAAACATGGAAGAGTTTATATACTCTTTTATAAATTAAATTGCAGCTTTATTTATAAAAACATATAACTGGGTCACTAGAGAGTCTGCATGCTAATTATAGCATGAATGGTAGAATGGTTAAATAAAGGGACACTATAGGTGCCCAGACTACTTCAGCTCATGAAAGTGGTCTGGGTGCACAGTCTGTCAGTTTAACCCTGGAATTTTAATTATTGCAGTTATTGATTAACTGCAATAATAACAATACAGGGTTAATTCTACCAGACAACCACTAGAGGCGCTACCTGGTGGTTAAGCGAACTTTGGTCTCCTAACTTACACTGGACGTCCTCACGCTCTGCATGAGGACCTCCAGCGCTAACTAAAACCCCATAGGGAAGCATTGATTCAATGTTTTCAAATGGGGTGGTCCTAGTGCTAATGTCTAATTCTGGCATGGTGCATGGAAACCTGTTGGCCATTGTTGTACTTATTGGACATCACAGAATACAAATATGTGTTTTTTTTATTGTAGTAAATCCTCAGTACTATCATACTCATAGTAGAAAGCATTACATTTGAAACTTAGAGAAATGTTTTCCTAATTGTTCACACTTATTTAGATTTTATTAATATCAATATGATGGTTCTCACCATCACTGGGACCATGTAAATGCTGCACTTCTCTCTTTCAGATATTTTAATTACTGTTGGCCTCCATTTTCCCCAGAGTTGAAACACCATAGGCCTGGATTATATGTGACTGTGTTTGCTGGTGGGAGTTATGGAACTGTCTGTCTGTTTTTGTCTGACAACTCTTGTGATTTTGCATATGTTTCTTATGTCTAAGTCATTCTAGGCCCGTTATAGGTGCAGGGTGTGTATTATTATTTGTTAAATGTCTTGTGTGCTCTCCTGCAATGCTGATGCAATCTACGAACTAGATGGATTGGGCTATGGAGCCAGCGCAGGACCACCTGTTGGTTGTTAACGATCTTGCAAGCCTGTACAGCACCATCTGTTGGTTGTGTAGAGCTTGAACACTACCTGAATGGCAAGACTGCTTAATTTGCATATTCATGGATGTTTGTATATTGTGATTTATGCAGACCGGGAATTCATTTCTTGTCAGTGTTTGTCTTCCCTCACTATTTATAAATATTGCATTATGTTATATGAGTGCCTGTATGATTCCCAATATGATTATGCTTTATGTACTGGATTGAGTGTGTTAACATAAGTATAATGTAATGTACATAGGTGCTAGTCCTGAGTGTAAATAAAGTATTGTGTGTTAGTTGCATTTGGAAATGTGTGTACTGTCCAGAAACTCAAGCAATAGATTTTCTGGACCTGCGGCTGGCTGTACTGATCCCTGATCAGGGGATGTGTGGAGAGAGTTAGGCCTGAGAGCTACAAGTGTCTTTGTTGGAGGCAGCTCAGTTAGAGGTGTCAATACCTGCTGGGAAGAGGAACAGAAGAGGCAAATTCTTAGGGGAAGCTTGTTCGGGTGGAAATGGTGTTCAAAGACCCCAATAATGCTTCAGCGACTCCGTCTGAATTGCTCCAATGTCCCTCGTAGCAGCAAGGAAGATTGGAATACAGGAGCTCTGTCACAATTACAGTTGTGCTGAAAAGCTTGCACACCCTTGTAGAAATTGTGAAATTTTGGCATTGATTTTGAAAATATGACTGATAATGCAAACAATGTCTTTTATTGAAGGATATTGATCATATGAAGCCATTTATAACCACTTAGTTGTTTGACTCCTTTTTAACTCATAATGATTAGAGAAATCACCCAAATGGCCTTAATCACAATTTTACATACCCTTGAATGTTTGGCCTTCTTACAGACACACAAGGTGACACAGACAGGTTAAAATGGCAATTAAAGGTTAATATTCCACACCTGTGACTATTTACATTTCAATTAGTGTCTGAGTATAAATAGTTAATGTATTTGTTAGCTCTCATGTGGATGCACTGAGCCGGCTAGATACAGAGCTGAAAAGAACGGCCAGAAGACCTGCGTAAAAGGTGATGGAACTTTATTAAGATGGAAAACGATATGAAAATATACCCAAAGCCTTGAAAATGCCAGTCAGTACTGTTCAATCACTTATTAAGAAGTGGAAAATTCGAGGATCTCTTGATAAGCCATGAAAGGTTTCAGCCTCAACTGCAAGAAGAATTGTTCTGGATACAAAGAAAAATCCACAGGTAACCTCAGGAGAAATACAGGCTGCTCTGGAAAAAGATGGTGTGATTGTTTCAAGGAGCACAATACATGAACAAAAATGAGCTGCATGGTGAAGCCTTTACTGTGCCAATGCCACAAAAAAGCCTGGGTACAATATGCTCAATAACACCTTAAGCTCTAAAGACAGGGCCGGCCCGTCCATTGGCAACATTGCCACTGCTCCAGGTGGCACTTTACAGGGGTGGCATTTTGCCACCTCTGTACACTGTAAAGTGCTTACTGTGCCACTTTGTGTGCGAGCTGTGCGGTTGCACAGGGCACCATGTGGCCGGCGCTATAAGGACTATAGGAGTGCTATAAGGACCGTGGCCTCGCTGCACCTAGGGAGGATTTGATTACACCTAGGTGTATCAGATAAGGCAGAGGCAGAGCTTCATGAGCGAGCAGGTGTGGCTAAATGGGATGGGGTGGGGCTACATGCAGCTGAAACTTGTGAGCTGTGGGAGAAGTATGAAGGAGTCCCTGCTCCCCAGACACCTAAACACCGGCGACTGCAATGCCCCTGCTTCTCCAGCCAGCTCATAATGGGAAGCAGGTACCTGTGTGTCTGTGTGAGAGACAGGGCCAGATTAACATAAGGGTTGATGGAGCTGTAGCTCCAGGCCCATGGAATAGGCCCATTGATTTAAAAAAATAAATACATTATAATTATTTTTTTTACTTTTTTTTTTTTATTTATTTAGTTTTTTTTTTACACACTACTCTTAGGGTTGCCACCTGGCCGGTATTTATTTGAGACTTATTTGCAGTAATGCCGACAATACAAATGCCTGTATTTTTCTCAGTATTGACAGAGATTACTCTGCAATACCAACACCTGCCAGTAGGGGTTGCTGTGTGTGTGGAGAAAGGCAAGGATAGGAAATTACAGCATATACCTGCATTACTCTACTCACTGATCTGCGGGTGAGCAGCTACACAGCACAGACAGCAGCTCCCAGCCTGCAGAGACAGCATACAGCTTAGTGAGAGATGGGTAAAGGCTGCAGGGAGACATGGGGTCACTGAGACACTAGGTGACACAGGAAGACCTCTGGGGACAGAGACACATATGGGGACACAGACACACATTGAGACACTAGGGGACGCTGGGAGACACAGACACACTTGGGGACACTGTGATACATAGATTCAGTTTCCCCCAGTCTCTCAGTGTCACCATGTCTCACAGTGTCCACTAGTGACATGGGGACACAGACACTAGGGGACACCGGGAGACCTGGGCAACAGGGAGACACTGGGAGCAATCCATCTATACAGCAGAATCAAACTGTAAGTAGTTTTTTTGGTAATTTATGCCAAGCTCAGGATGCTGTTGGCCAGCTCGCATTATTGGTAGGCAGCCTGGCATGTATTCATGCCAGGCTAGCCTTCCAATTCTTTGGGCAGACATGCCTCCTTTTTGGGCATGTTCGTCTCTTTCGGGCATTCTGGTTACATGATCTGCGTCAGTGGCCCACCTTTTTAAACCCATTGACTTCCTACTTTACTGGACACTGCTGTTAGGGGGTATGAATTTACTTGAAAGATGAAAGCATTAATTAGAGAAAGATTAGCATATTTTAAGATAATCTGAGTTTTCTTATAGCTGCATCCTATGATTTTCCCTCTGGCAACATCTACACCAGATACATAACGTATGAAAAGTATGACTGTTTTAGTGTTTTTCGTCAATAATATTCTGTAACTAGGCCCATCATAATTGTCAGCATCAGGCCCACTGGGCTCTTAATCTGGCCCTGTGTGTATGTGAGAGACAGACTTTAACTGTTTGTGAGAGAGACTGTCTGTAACTGTGTGTGTGTGTGTGTGTGTGTGTGTGTGTGTGAGAGAGAGAGAGAGAGATGGTCTGTAACTGTGTGTGTGTGTGTGTGAGAGAGAGAGACTATCTGTAACTTTGTGAGACTGTGTGTGTGTGACTCTCTAAATATTTATGTGACTAATTGTGTGAGCCGGTCTGTAACTTTGTGTGTGCGTGTGTGAGAAAGAAAATGTGTAACTGCGTATGTGACTTTCTGTAACTGTGAGCCAGTGTGTGTGTGAGAAACTGTCTGTAAACGTGTGTCTGTCTGTACCTGTGTGTTTGTTGTGTGTAAAAGAGAGACTGCCTGTAACTGTGTGTATGTGTATGATTGTCTGCATCTGTTCTCCAACATTTGAGCACAATTATATTATTGTTCAATCAGTTGTAATTAAAAAGTCTGTAAATCTTGACAATAAACCTGATTTCCAAAGGCGGTTAAATAAACCGCCTTCGGAAATCAGGTTTATTGTCAAGATTTACAGACTTTCAGCTGTTTGCAATGAACAAATCAAACAAAAGAAATTGAAGAAATTTCAAATGCTTCAAGTGGATTCCCCAAATTTAACTGAAAATGCAACTTAAAATGACTTCTCCAGTCTCAAAATGGGGTTCAAGTCAGGTGACTGTGTTGGCCACCATAGAATTTTTCCAGGAATTCTTCTGCAACCAACCCTTGGTGGAATTTAAGGTATGGTTGGGATCATGGTCTTGTTGGCAGGTTCAATGATGCCCATATTTCAGTTTCCTCACACATGGCATGACGTTTTCTCCTAGGATTTCCTGATACTTCAATGAATTTTTGCACTTACTCAAGGATTTTTCACAACCTGCCTTCTCAGAAATCTGGTTGAAACCATTAAAAGCTTCCATTTTCTGCCCTGTCCAGGTAGTATAACCAATGTTCCTTTAAGTTTAAACTTGTGAACTATGCTTCGAACAGTGTCTCTAAGAACATTCAGTGCCTTCACTATCTCTTTGTATCCTGTTCCTTGTTTGTGAAGGGCGATGAACTCTTCTCTTAACTTTATGGACCATTCTTTTGACTTAGAAATATTTCTAATATCCAGTCAAATGTGACACTCCCCTAGCCAGTTCAGGTATTTCAAGTGTTCAAGCTCAAGCACACCTGGTGCAACTAATGATGCTCTTGATAAGTTGCATCAAGTGTGCTTGAGACAACTCTTTTGGATATTTGTGCTGTTGTAAGGGATTCTATTCAGGGGGTTGAATAATTTTAAGATTGGAGAAGTCATAAGTTACATTTTCAGTTGAATTTGGGGAAACCACTTGAAGTACTCTTTGTGTTACGCTATTTCAATTGCTTTTGCTTGATTTGTTCATTGGAAACAGCTGAAAGTCTGTAAATTTTGATAACCAGCCTGATTTTCAATAGGGGGTGAATAAATTAGATTACAACTGTATATAAAAGTTTCATGTCAAGAGCAGCGCAACGGAGCAGCCGCCATTTCCAACAGCTCTGATCACCTAGAGCAAAATCAGCAAATCCAAAGCACATCGACTGAAACAGGCTATGGATACCAATTCTAGGCATTCTGCTGAATCCGTAAATGCCTTTTTTCCCCAGACACCAGGCACAAAACGCCACACCAAAGGCTCTGGGGCCTACTGCGCCAGCGACCAGGACCTAGCCAGAGAATTAACAGCGTGGCTTGGGTCGGGCACACAGCACACAGAGGCAGACTTCTACACCCCAGAAGAAATGGGACAGAGGTACCAAAAACCAACCCCACGTGCTCCCAAACCCCTCCAGCCGCATGAACCCGAACCGCCGTGGAAACTTCACCCTCAAGGTCTGAAGATGAAAACTCCGTACACGGCATGGCCACAGACTGAGAAAACCCACAGACCACAGGAGAATCAGCCCCACAGCTACCAAGCACGATATCCAGATCATGTTGGCTGGACTCCAACACAACTTGCAGCAAATGTGGCAGGCAGACCTAAAGGGACTAGAGGCTGAGGTACAGGTGGTGACAGTCCACACTCAAGCCACAGAACAGGAGGTGAGAGATCTACGCCAAGACCTAAATGCACTGAAAGACACAGTCACCCAGATGCAAACCGCACAGTCCAATATTACCAGGCAAGTTAACCTGCTAGATGACAGGGGCAGGAGAAAAAAAAAAAAATGTCAAGATCGGGGGGTATCAGAAGCAGTACCGCTGGAGGAACTTGCTCTTATCTCCTTATATTTCTGATTTATAGTTTGATACCCTAAGAACGCACAATACTCCCACCACTGATGCCAAAGCGCTGCCCATCCACTTGTAGACCCACTGCAGACTACACTGACTGGGTAAAACTAGCTGGCTCTGGGCTGCAATACACCCCCCTCCAATACCCTTGAGGGATGGAGAAAAGCCAGCAAGGGAACGGCAAGATTACCCCCAAATGACAGGTACCCTATAGAAACTACCCGAAGCGGACCAACGCTCTCACTCCCCCACAACCCTAGCAGGCACCGAACAGACCATCACCACACTAGTGACACTCGTCTAGCTGAGATCAGAAACCTCTCATTGATACACAACACGGCTAAACATAGTCCCCATAAGACAAGAGTGCTAACCAACCCACTCATTAACATAGGACGCCCTATACTACCCATGGTAAGCCCCTCAGGCGGTACCATACCCGCAACTTACCTCTACCACTAGAAGCCCCCTCCCCCGCCCACATATGATGAGCCCATTTAACCATTCCAAACACATAGAGCTGAATAGATCCCTATGAACGACTAGACCACTTCAAAAAGTGCAAACCATCTCTTGGCCAGGCATGTCCTGCACCCTATTGACTAACAGCCTATATGTTACCATGTTCTATGGCGTTATGGAAATGCTATGACTAATCTTTATGCACTGAAAACAAAACTAAAGAATTTACTAAAAAAATAAATGAAAAAAAAATTGATATCAAAAGACAGGCCTATTTGTCCTGAACAAAATGATATACAAGTGTGGAAGTACTTAAAGGGAGAGAGGTAAATTATGGTCGACAAAACATATAGCTCAAAGTCTATATTTTGGTTCAGAATTTGGACTTTAAAAGATATGGACTCAGAACAGACCCTTGATGGGCACAACTTGCCACTTTAAAGTTTTCCAGGAATAACTACTCTCTGTGTTTAAGACACTGAACTCCAAAACCAATGATTTTTACCTAAACCCACCGATTTTAATTCACCCTGTAATTTTATTTTCAAACATATTCTACTTCATAAAAATTATACAATAATGACATTGAATAACATAGTAAAACAAATGCATCCTGACCAATAACACTGGAAGAAGTTTGCCATTACCCAAGCCTGTCTCTAAATGAAAGAGTGCTAGATCCAGGAACAAAAACATATACATCATGTAGCCCATAGTCTCATATAGGCAAATCATGTTTATTAATACTAATTACCAATACAGGACTGGCAAAAGTGGCAGGGGAAAGTTGCCCTAGCACAAATAGTGGGCAGCAGACTCTAAATTTCTCTGCAGATTAAAAGAGTTTAGGAAAAGTACAGTAGGATTTACACAATCTTTGCTAGTCCCGCTAAAAAGGCAGCATATAGACAACCTAGATCTTTATGGGTTGGCAGTGTGTCCAGTTTTGTAAAAATGTTATCTTTTCATGTGACAACACTGAAGAAATGACACTCTGCTACAATGTAAAGTAGTAAGTGTACAGCCTGTATAACAGTGTAAATTTGCCCTCAAAATAACTCACACAGCCATTAACGTCTAAACTGTTGGCAACAAAAGTGAGTACACCCCTAAGTGGAAATGTCCGAATTTGGCCCAATTAGCCATTTTCCCTCCCCGGTGTCATGTGATTCAGTGTTACAAGGGAGCAGGTGTCTTAAATTTGGTGTTATCGCTCACACTGGTTAGTGGATGTTCAACATGACACCTCATGGCAAAGAACTCTGGCAACCAGTTTATGAGTACAATGACAAGTGTCTTGCCTACAGTCAAGCATGGTGGTGGGAGTGTCATGGTCTGGGCCTGCATGAGTGCTGCCGGCACTGGGGAGCTACAGTTCATTGAGGCAACCATGAATGCAAACGTACTGTGCAGAGCATTATCCATTATTGTTCTCTGAAAAGGCAGTGTTTGCATGAAAATGCCTGCGTAGAACGATTATACTCACCAGAACAACTACATTAAACTGTAGTTATGGTGACTATAGTGTCCCTTTAAATAGGTTTAGTCATAAAGCTGCAGTGAATCTTCCAGATAATTGCAAATTTGGTTCAAAAACAACTTTTAAAAAAATTACAAATAAGTATTCTCACTTTAGTGAATATCCTCTACAACAGGGGTCCTCAAACTTTTTAAACAGGGGACCAGTTCACGGTCCCTCTGACACTGTTGGGGGCCGGACTATAAAAAAATATTAATGAATATTAACACAGACTGAAATACATACAGACATACAGATACATACATACTGAAAAACACACACATACTGACATACATACATACACACAGCTAATTTTGTAAAAATTAAAAAGGTAACATTTTACCTTTTTTTGCAGGAGCGTGGCGGTGGTTGTGGCTGATGGGAGTTGGCATGGCTCCCTCAGCCTGGTTCTCTTCCCTCCCAGCAGTACTTTGTGGCTGCGATATTTTTTTTTTTTTTTTTTTTTAAAAAAGGGGCCCGCGGAGATATAGGGCCCAGGCGGGCCGTAGTTTGAGAACCCCTTCTCTAGAATGTAAGCTCATTGAGCAGGGCTCTCCACCCACTCTGTTCCTGTATGTCCAGTTTTCTGGTTACAAATTACATGTCTGTTAGTCCACCCATTGTACAGCGCTACGGAATCTGATGGCGCTATATAAGTAATAAAAAATAATAACCCTGTCAGTGAATACATTCTGAACTCCTCCTAAAATAATTTTTCCAGAGTAGCATCTGGTAACTTTGGTCTCTTCTATTCTGTTCCATAGCTCCCTCTACTGGTTATCTATATCCCATGTTTTGGAGACCTTCTTCTGCCTTGAAAATTGGGAGGGATAAAAAAAAAAAAAAATTACCTCAACATTACTTTATTTGTTTTCAATATAATGATCCTTTCATCAATGTTTGAAAGGAAGAAGATTCTAAGATTCTTTGTTAAATTAAGTATATGTAAAAAATAAATAAATGAGAAAAGCTCGTGCCTATCTTTTGTAAATTACAGGATCCTTTAGCCATATAGATATAGCTTGGGTCAGGCAGTGTTTGAAAACAGACAGTTTCTATGGTCTTGCCTGCTTCACTCCCTGCATAGAGTTCATGACTAACTGTGTCTTAAGTACACCGCTTGAGGCCACTATATCAAAGTATGGGGATAGTGAAAGAAAATTTGGGCCTAATACACAAACTCACCTACAGAAGGCAACAATTGTACGATGCAAGTTAAACTTCAGACTTTATAAAGCAGTCAAACTATTGTGCTATTGTTTTAGAGGCTGACCGGAAACTGAGC